AAAATTGATCTACCATTTTAGTCTCACAAGAATTTAATGAGAGTTCTGTTAGCTCCACATACTTGCTAAAATTTGACATTGTCAGTCTTTATATTTTTGCCTTTCTTGTGGGATGAAGTGAAATATCATGTTGTTTTTAATTTGCATTTTCCTAATAATTGATGATTGCAAACTTATGATTTGCTTTACTGGCCATTCATATATTATCCTTTGTGAAATGCCCATTTTTTTCTAATCGGTTGTATTAAACAACAAAAATTCAACTAAGTAAATTTACTTATCAATGACTCAATTATTACATCAATGAATGCTGGTGTAACAGTTCACAATTGCTTGCTTCTTAGTTTTCACTAGAAATTAAGCTTTCTAAGGGTTAAGAATTCTAATTAATATATGTAATTAAAGCTACTAGAAATAATAAGGGAGATATTTCTGTAAGGGAGATATTTCTATATGCAGGGATAATAAGATGCATGTTTTTGGGAAGAAAAAGTATGAAGAATGGAGATTCTTGTTTTGTTGAAGGAAAAGAAAGTACTTTTGTCCTAAGGTAAAGCTAGGAAAGAGAACAGGGACAAATGGACATAGTCTAGGGCCTGCCTATTTATTTTCTTAACAATGTGCTTTATTGAACAGAAGTTTTTAATTTTGAAGATGTCTAAGTTGTTATTTTTTAAAATATGTGGTTAATATTGTCTATGTCCTGGAAAATATTTTGCTTAGATCACAGAGATACCTGTCAATTTTCTTCCTTACATTTTACATTTTTGGCTTTAACTTTAGATGTGTGATCATCTTTAAATAATTTTTGGGTATGTTGTGAAATTTTTAGTCTGTTTACATTTAGTTCAATTATTAGTATATTTAGATTTATGTCTATCATTTCACCAGTTTTGTCTTATCTTTTCTTATTGTTATTCTGTTTTTTCTTTACTGCCTTTTTGACTTAATCACATATCTTTTATTATATGTTTTAATTTCTCTATTAGATATTTAGCTGTAACTCTTTGCATTATTTTTGGTGGTTTCTATAGGTATTACAGTATGCATGCTTAATTTATCATGGTCTACTTATAATTAATATTGCATTACTGCATGTATCATTTAAGAACCTTGAATGGTGTAGTTTCATTTATCATCCTCTACCTTTTGTGTTATTGTCATATATATCACATCTACCTAAATTGCAAAACTTACAATAAATTTTAATTTTTGATTTTAATTTATGTTATTTTAACAAAATTAGGAGAAGAAAAAGATTTTATGTTTAGCTACATGTATAACATTTCAGGTGCATTCATCCCCTCTTGAAAACCCAAGTTTTATTCTACTTTTCATTTTGAAAGGTTTTTTTATGATATAGAATTCTGGGTATGTTTTTTTCTTTCAGCACTTTTTTCCTTGTCTATTGCTCTCCATTGTCCCTATGTTCATTTACACAGTTATTTTCCTGTAGCTGCTTTCTCCAGCTATATTAGTGATTTTTTCTTCATCTTTAGTTTTCAGTAGTTTAAATGTGGTGTACTTAGCTGTTGCTGTCATTCTGTTTATTCTGCTTGAGGTTCATTGACATTTTTGGTCTGCAAGTATGTACTTTAAAAAAAACATTTTGGGCAAATTTTCTGCTATTATCATGTCAAATTTTTTTCTACCCCAATCTTTCTCTCTTTTCATCTTGTGACTGTAATTTTATGTATGTTAGATCCTTGATATTGTCCTTCAGGCCATTGAGGCTCTCTTCTTGATATTCAATTACTTTTCTCTCTGTTCTTCAGACTAGATAATTTCTACTGGTCTCTTCAAGTTTACTGACCTGTCCATCTGCTGTTAAGTCCATCCAGAGAATTTATGTTTAATTTTATTTAATCCCATCTCATTTCTAAATTCTTATTTGGTTCTTTTTCATAGTTTACCTTCTCTACTGAGATTTCCAATCTCTTTCTGCATTACAACCATATTTTCCTTAAATCATTGAATATATTTTAAATAGCTGCTTTAGAAGGTTGATCTCTATTGACTATTTTTTCTCCTGATTATGGGTGACATTGCTTGAGTTCTTTTGTTTGTTTGTTTTAATTTTAAAAATTGCATCCTGGAACTATAGGTAATATATTGTAGAGTTCTATTATTGTGTAATTCTGATGATGATTGATTTTTGTTCTACCAGGCAGATAGCTTGGCCAGACTCAAACTCTAAAAACACTGTCTCCCCTGATGTGGACAGTAGTCAAAATCTGCTTGACTCCCTTAGGCTACCAGCATCTTTCTTTCTTATAGTATCTCCTAGGTATACAGTTAAGAGGTAAATCAAGGACCTGGGACTGTTACACATATTACTATGTGTCTCCCTCTGGCTCTTTCAGTTCTGGAGTTTCCTGGTCACTTTCCACTTGCTCTGGTACCTTAGAATTCTGACTTCTAATCCTAATTTCTCAAGATAGTGGGACTAGGGATAGTGGGATTAGAGATCCAGCATGCACAATCCCTTTTGGTTAGGATCAAGGTGTGCTTCCAGGCAAAAAGACACATCAATGCAAATATCACCAAGGGCAGTTTGCCCCCTTAAAGAGTTGCCTCCTCTCTAGGCTCTGCCTGTCTTTGATCACTATATAGTACTTTTCAATGCAGTCAGTTCTGCTCTGACAAAACATATATGTTCCTAAAAAATCATTAGAATGTGCAAAATAATGCAATAAAAATTGTAAGGCTTGTGGGGGAAAAATGGGGCTAGGGACTCAGCACTGAAAAACTTCTTCATCTACATAAAAAAAAGAATATTGGTAAAAATCGTAGCCCATTTTCATCGATGTTACATGGTTTAGAAATACACAAATACTACAATAAATGTGGCACCTTACCTTATAAAAGACTTGAAATTTATTTATAGAATTGGGTTTTGGAAAGGCTGCGGCTTGTGAGTTATTGTGAGGTGGTATAAGGAGTGTTATCTGAAATCTGACTGAAAGTCATGACACCCGATGTAGATGAGTGAGGTTCATAACACATGTGGTGAACTGAGGAAGCTAGTAGGTGGGAGGGCTGTGTATCTGGTCTGTGCATTTTGTGTGTCCATACATAACCATGCAGTTTTCTGCATTCACCTAGTATTTCTCACAGATGAAACTGAACACAAGCCAACATGAAATTTGAATTATGTACAAATTATTTTGTAATATATCAATTGCTTTGGAACAAATTTGTAGTTTCCAAATAAGCGTTCTATCAGAACTGAAGGTAGTTTTTAAAAATTATTTATAGAAAGTTTAACATTATTTATAGAATTAGTCTAAAACAAGCTATTTGCATTACTAAAAGCAAAACCTCCATTTTTTAATTTTAAACTTCATGTGTACTTTTTTTGGAGCTGTTATCTTTCACTTAGCATTATTTTTAAAATTTGTTGATGCTGTTGCATGATTAAATATTCATTTCTTATTGCTATATAGTATTCCATTTGATAAATATACCACATTTTATTTTCCATTATACTATTGATAGACATCTTGGTTGTTCCCAGGTTTTGCTATTTTAACTAAAGCTGCTGTGAACACTCTTGTGGATATACTTTGGTCCATATGTATTAAGGGCTTTGGGGTCACAGGGTGTATGTACATTTATCTGTTACAGAAACTGACAAATAGTTTTCCAAATGAGCTGTAACAATTTACACTCTTATGAGCATTGTATAAGAGTTCCAGTTGCTCTGCTTCTTCAATAATATTTATTATTTTCAATCCTTGAAATTTGAGCATTTTAGTTGAGGTATAAACTCAAGTATCTCATTGTAGTTTTGATTTGCATTTCTCCAATGACCAAAGAGGTTGAGAACACTTCAAATGCTTATTGACCATGTGAATGACCTCATTTGCATAGCACCTGCATACTTTTTTTGCCCATATTTTAAAATTGGGTAGTTTATCATTTTCTTATTGATTTGTAGGCATTCTGTATATGCCCCACATCAGCGCCTTTTGTCAGATTGTGTAAATTGCGTATACATTCAATCTTTGGCTGCCATTTTGCTCTCTTAATGTTGCCTTCCAATAGTTTGTGTTATTTTTGCCTTGTGTTTTAATTCTCCATATAATTTAAACCACCCAATACTACTATTATTGTTGTTTCATTTGATCAATACCACGTATTTACTCTTTGTTTTAATTCTATTCCTTCTGGTATTTCAGCGCTTCCATCAGGAATCCTTTATTCATCTGCTTGAAGAACTCCCTTGGAAATTTCTTCTAGAGTATGTCTGCTGGCAACTATTTTTCTCAGTTTTTGTCTTTCAGTTTTTCTAAGAATGTATTTTTTGACTGTCCGTTGAAGAATATTATTGTAATTATATAATTTTAGTTTAGCCCATGGTCCTCATCATTCATCCCTCTGTTATTCAGCATTTATAAAACGTGTTTGTGTGTAACACTGTTTTGAAATGTGAGTGATAAGGACGATAGGATCATAGGATAGAGGATAGGAAGAGATCATTGTGTCCTAATCCTTATTTTTAGAGCACTGGATTTAATGCACAGAATGTGAAATAACTTGAGAAAGCAAAAACTATCTAGAAATAATAGTTGGCCTAATATATATTATATATATTCACAAATATCTCATTTATTCATGGAATTCATTATTTCTTTCCTGTGGGTCTAACATGCTAGCACTATGCTAACCAGTAGATGTATTGTAGCTGGTGAAGTCTTTAGTCTCTTGGAGCTAACATTCCATTAGGAGACTGCTTAAAGAAAACTAGAAAATAGAATAAATAAGCTTATAAGATAATTTTCAGGTGGTAGAAAGTATTTCATAGCAAACAAAACAGGGTAGTGAAATAGAGAGTGACTTTCAGAAAGGGTAGCAACTTAAAATATTGTGGTCGGTGCAGTCTCTGAGCTGAGACCTGAATGAGCCCAAGGAGCTGGGCCTGCAAAAGCCTAGGTTCAGTGAGCTTCAAGTGGAGGGAATAATAAATGCAGGGCCCTGAAGTTGACACCACTTGGCTTGTTTATTGAACTTTGTGTGGAACGGAGAGAACGATTTGTAGAATGGTGAAAGATGAAGTCAGAGAAGCATGCAAGGAACAGACCAATTAAGGTATTTTAGGTCCTGAAAGAATTAGGACTTGATTTTAAGTAATTATAGGGTTTTAAGTAGTAAAGTTACATAATTTGAGTTATGCTACCAAAAAAATCAAAACACTTTTCTTTTTCTTTTTAACTTCTTGTTGTTTCCCTGGTATGCCCTATTGTAAATTCTAGGGGATCTTTCACATGCCTATGCCTCTACCAATTCCTCAAATGTCTTAGAAGAATTTTATTTCTCTGTTCCTACTTAAAAGTCTAATGTCATCTAGAGACTGGGCTTTCATTCTTAAAAGTTGAGAAAAATTACTAACGTCTATGAAATAATGTATACAGTTTTATTCATTGATTTTTGTGTCTTTTTTCCTGATATGTATATATTTAATATGTTTTCTTATTTGTATTTTAGAAACATGCATTATTCGAGTGTGTCAGGCAGATTTAAGAGGATTGGAATAGGTAAATAGCCTCCAGATGTGACATGTTTAAAGAGGAAGCTTTTGTTCTCATGTGTAAATAAACTCTAGTATGTATGTTTAAAATTACTGGTTTTTGCTACAACTTTTATTTCTTGGTTGCTATTTGGTCATAAACTTAAGCCAGTGAAAAATGATAATTTACAACATAGTAAAGGTTCATTCACAATAGATATACACAGACAGTATATATTAAATAATAATATGGCACAGAGTTTATATTTGTGCTTTTGTTTATGTCAAACTAAATTAATTAAACCATCTTTCTCATATTTGGGGGAAGACAGGAAGTGTTAGAACCTGCCTATGAAAGGAATCGAGTGACTGAAGTGAATACTCCAGATTTCAGACTTGAAGTAGCCTAGAATAGTTAGACAATGCTTCACACGGAAGCACTTTATAGAATTTTACCCTAAACTGTAAACCAAAATATTCATGTTTCTACTTATTTGGGGGGGCAGGTGGCTAGTTTTAAAATGTCACTTAAATAACTTTTTAGAAAGAAATATTTATTGAGTAACAGTAAATGAAGTCATGGTAGTTAAAAATTCATTGAATAACTGAGTAAATACTGACTCCGAGAATCTCTGAATTTCAGTTGAGTAAGTTTTGGTGACTATATATTTCAGATCAAATATCCACTCCCTAAATGAATTCACCATATCACTTTGAACCCACTAGATTTTTTACTATAGAAGAGTAAAATCTCAATAACTTTAGATAAAAATTATCAAATGCTTATAGTTTATCAGGTGAAACAGCTTTCCAGCAATTTTTCTAGGTATTAGGGAAAAGCACTCTGGCAATGAAATTGCAACTTGAAATTCACTCTATTTTTTATCTCTAGTCTGTATATACCCTGAATTAAGATTGTTTAAAATAATTATTAAATCAAATTTGATCCGAGGAAATGCACCTGGGGAGTAGATGTTTTATAGGAACAAATGCACTGTGTGAGTAGCAGTAGATTTTCTTTCTGATCTATGTGAACAAAAATCTATGTAGCTAAAGATCTAAAATTCTGTAGCATTATTAATGCTCAAGAAAGGAAAAAATGTGAAAGAGGTGCAACTTTTTCAAGGAAGTCTACAGAACAACTTACTTAGTTTCCCAAGGTCACTGAAGTAAATAGGAAACAGGGACAATCAACTCTTAATTATAAGGAATCTCTGGGGAAATAGAAATAAAATCCAAAGTTTCAACTCAGGCATTAGTTTCACCTGTTGGTCACCAATGCCTTTGCCAACAGGAATTTGATCTGACAATTGTTTTTCAATCTGTTGACTGTCTTCTACTTATCTTTTGGTGGAAACGGTAGCAAAAGAACTGGAAGAAACCTAAATAATCACGACAAATTAGATAACTGAGAGATAGCCTGCATTCTTCTTTTAGCAGCTCAGTGATGCAGAAACAAGTACAAAACAAGCAAACAGTTTCCAATAGTCACACTGCTAATGGGGGATCCGGGACTACCATCCAGTTCCTTTAGAATTTCTAAGACAATAGTCTTTCCTTCCTCTAGTGTATGTTGCTATTGAAGTTAATTTGTAGAAGCACGACTCCATATCGGTTTCTTTATAAGAACATGGAGTATATTCAAATAGAAAAGATTAACATGAATCAATGCACATGTGTGTATGTATCTTTTATATTTAAACATGATCTCAAAAAAGAGTTTCTTTGCAATTGAAGATGAGAAATAAGTAGAAATAACTCAAGAAAGGGCTTGATGGATTATGTTGCAGAAGACTTGACAGAAGAGAAAAAAGAAACTGTAGGATGAAATCTCTATTCTGGTGAGGAGAAAGAAGTGAAGCTATTAAATCCAGGCTTGTCAGCAGGGGCCAGATTATTGCTCACTGGTTGAGAAGAGAGAGAAAGAATAACACAAACAGAGGGGCTAACAGAATTTGAAAATAGTTTGAAAAGACTGGAAATAGATACTTTAAGCATCTATTGACTTTAAGGAAATAAAGACATGATAGCCCCAAACCGAGAAAACCAGATTTTTTTTTTTTTTTTTTTTTGGAACAGAAGAAGTATTTGGGCATGATTTAGTTCCAGGATAATGAGGTCCAGTAACTCTAGGTTCTGAGGATACCATAGTTTAAGAGTTTAATTTTTTTTTTTTTTACCTTTTTGAGTTTAAGAAATGTAGACTATATTGATAATGTGTATATGTATTTATCTTGCACCTTCAAGCTTTTTCTCTTTGTCACTATTTAGCTACATTTATTGGTATAAGCTCTTGTAATATACCTGAGAGATCAATATGTCTAGGACTGTATAACTTTTTAAATATAATTTAAAATTTTTCCCTGAATAATAAAATTATATTTTATTCAAGGTCATTGTATTAAATGATTAGTTGAAGCTTTTGGTTAAGAAATATCTAGGTCAACATTTTTATGAGTCTAGGCAATAATTTTTTCCTGTCATCATTTGGTTATATTAAAACCAGCTTAGTGCAGAGTGACATCAGCATCACAGTGGCATGAATCATTCCTTTTTACTCTCTCCTTCAATTTACAACTAATGGGACATCCATTACCAAAACAAAAACACTTCTGCACAGCATACCAGGACACCTGAGAGATCCAGCCATGTACCTAGGAGAGGGTGGATCAGACTGCAGAGGAGGCTGTGGAGGAAGAGAGTGGTGGCAGAGAGGGTGCTGGCAGAGGAGGCAGAGCTGCAGCATGACGTTTCTGGTAGAGGAGGTGGAGGGTGAAGGCAGTGAGTGGGGGTCTGCCCGCCTGCAGGTTCTGCAACTGGTGGGACTCATTGCTTTCTCTGAGGAGAGACCTCAGTGACTGAGAGGAAGAAAAGGAAAGGGAAGTAGGCAAAGAGAACTGAAGAAAAGTCTCTCCTACTGTCTGCCCCAGGAGGCAAGAGGACCGTCCATGGAACTCTGGGATCCTTCACTCTAGGATTCTCCACTGGACTGTGGGCACAACCAAAGCCCCAAGTGCTAAGTACACACCTCCCCCATTCTGCCGCCACGTTTTTTTGTCTCTACCACCTTTTTTTATGCGCTCACTCCCAAATTTATAGGCAGTCAGTTCTGATAAAAGAAATCAAAAACTTGTTCTGTAGAGTCACATTCTGAAAAACAAAAGGAAGGCTCCTAAATACCAACATTTTGAGCTGTTAAATTAAACAAACTCTTGCCTAAACAAGAAAGGTGTTTGCTGCTTCAAATGCAGCAGCAGAGGCACTTTTCATCAAACACCATGAAAAGTCACAGTAATACAGTATCACAAAAGAAAATGACAATTTTCCCCAGACATAGAATATTGCAATCTGACCGATAAAGAATTCAAAATAGCTGTTATGAAGAAATTCAATGAGCTATAACAAAACTCAGAAATGTAATACAATGATCTTGGGAATAAAATTAATAAACAGAAAGAGTACTTTACCAAAGAGATTGAAGTTCTTAAAAAGAACCAAACAAATTCTGGAGCTGAAGAACTCAATAAATGGTATGAAGAAAGCATTAGAATACATTGGAAATAGATCAGATCAGATGGAAGAGACAATTAGTGAACTGGAAGATAGGAATCTAGAAATGATTCAGCTGGAAGAGGAGAGATAAGTAAGATTTTTAAAAAGTGAAGAAACCCTATGAGAGCTATCAGACTACATTAGGAAAACTAACATAAAAATAATGGGTATTCCAGAAGGAGAAGAGAGGAAGAAGGGAGCAGAAAGTTTATTTAAAGAAATAATAGCTGAGAAGTTCCCAAACCTGGAGAAGAAACTGGATATACAAGTCCATGAAGCTCATAGAACACCTTATTATCTCAATGCAAAAAGACCTTCTCCAAGACACATTATAATGAAACTGTCAAGACTCAATGATAAAGAAAGAATTTTGAAGGCAGCCGGGGGAAAAAGACAGTAACCTATAAAAGTACCCTCATTAGGCTATCAGCATATTTCTCAGGAGAAACTCTACAGGCCAGGAGAGAGTGGAATGACATATTCAAAATATTGAAAGGTAAAAACTGCCAGCCAGAAATACTTTATCTGGCAAAGTTATCCTTCAGACGTGAAGGAGAAATAAAGGCTTTCCCAGACAAACAAAAGCTGAGGGAGTTCACCACCACTAGATATGTCTTACCAGTAATGTTGGAGGAGCCCCTCAAGCTTAAGTGAAAAGAGGAAAGTACACAAAACTCTGATTAAGGTGATAAATAGAATTAGAAAACTGTAACTCTTTTTCAGAATATATATTGAACTCTTAATTATAGCATAAAGGTTAAAGGAAAAGAGCATTAAAAATAACTGCAGCTACTACAGCTAGATAATCAAATCACAGCATAAAAAGGGAAAATGTGTAACATCAAAAATTTAAAAGGGGAAGAATAAAAGGACGGAACCTCTGTAGGTGAATAAAGATAAATTGCTATCAGCAGAAATAGGACTATTTTATCTATGAAATGTTTTATGT